TTACTTTATTTTTTAATTTAATTATTATTACTTATAATGTTTTACTTATTTTCGTATTTTTATTAAATTTTTTGATCAATTTTGTTTCACTTACCTTTATTGCTATCACACAGGATCTAACAAGCCCCATGTGTGATAGCAATTTTGGCAACATCGCCAAGATCACTTGTAAAAAGACAAGCTGCTTCTCCGTTCTACATTTAGCCCTGCTTGTGCAAAGCAGGGCTAAATGTAGAAAACAAATTACCACCCGGTGCCCGGAACTCCATGTTCCGGGCGTCGGGTGACTTCAAACCTGTGCCGCCCCTCTGCTCTGTGCCGCCCCACGAGGCCGGGCCTTGGTGGCCTTGTCGGGAATCCGGCCCTGGTAGCCCCACTGCAAGGGTTCATAAAAGTTTTTGCATGGAGTTCTTCTTTAAAGATGCCAAATACTAGACATGTCATGATATCTGTAATTCGGAATTTGGATACATCCGAATGTCCGAATTTCCCAAAATTCGTCCGAATTTCGATTCGGAACGAAACGAATTGCACATGTCTACCAAATGCCCAACAATAAGAAAACGATCAAAGACCAGATTTGGCGGATCACATTTTCTAACAGTTCTCTTATCTTCCGAGATGTTTATTTTTCATTCCTGGAAAGCGAAACAGTAAAATGATAACAGTTATGTTATGTGTCATGTTTAGTTTTAAATGTGCTTAGTAGAGTCTTTGTCTTCTTACAACAGTTTTGCCATGGCAATCAAAGATATGTTACACTTACAGTGGATTCTATTGTTACTGTGTAGCTCATAAACAGTAAACCAGCAAAACAGCATCTTTGCAAAATACGGAAAACACTTAACCGTTACGGCGAGACGATCAGCGTTCTTTTCTTTTCCAAATTCCTCCGCAGCTGCGCTCTTCAGTCCTGAATGGCAATTTTCCTTATTAGCACTCCATTCATGTCAATGGCCATTAACGGGCAGCAGCGTCCACAGCACAGAGAGCTATATCTATACCGCGATTTGACGGCAATGTGTTAATTGTGACAGTCAGCCGTTGTGTATAGCCAAGTTGCATTGCGGCTGTAATCTAATATTCTAATGAGTGTCAGCTTGGCTATCTTTAAGTGGCACCATTTATGAATGAACTTTAGGTTCAGGGGAAACACGAGTTCTACCTAAAGTTAGCCTATCCGCAGTTCAATGACTGGGCAATCTAAATGGCCAGATTGGCCAGTTCACCGGCGCATTCGAAACCTCTGGCTGATACAGCTAAAGTCTGTCATTTAGTACTGGTATCACTAACAAGCCAGTAGCCATCCCAGGTGACATCATTGACCAAACAAGACCATATTTGGTCAATAACGTCACCCAAGATTCCTGGCACTGTGGGAAAAGATTTGTGAGTTGGCAGATCAGCAGGCCATCATGGTTGCTCATATTGATGCAGGATATGGTGAGAAGGAACTAAAGGAATCATGGTTACTACGGAGTAAGACTTGGAGCTCAATGAGACAGTATAACCATAGAGGATATGGTGAGAAGAAACTAAAGCAATCATGGCTTCTATATAGTAGGGGTTGGAACCCAATGAAACAGTATAACCTTACAGGATATGGTGAGAAGAGACTAAAGGAATAATGGCTTCTATGGAGTAGGGCTTGGAACCCAACAAGACATTATAACCATAAGAGAATATAGTGAGAAGGAACTAAAGCAATCAAGGCTTCTATATAGTAGGGCTTGGAACCCAATGAAACAGTATAACTATACAGGATATCCTGAGAAGTGACTAAAGGAATAATGGCTTCTATGGAGTAGGGCTTGGAACCCAACAAGACATTATAACCATACAGGATAAAGTGAGAAGGAACTAAATAAATCATGGCTTCTATGGAGTAGGGCTTGGAACCCAATGAAACAGTATAACCATACAGGATATGGTGAGAAGGAACTAAAGGAATCAAAAAACCCTCAAAATGAATCAGTACATAGCGCAGAAAAGCCTTCTTTAGCATATACTTTAAATTCATGTTCTTAGTCCATATGGTCACATATTAGTTGCTTGTGATAAATCTTTTTTTTTTTTCATCTATTATATTATTGACAAAAGCAATCCAGTTGAAGACATACCAGCGAGATATCAGTTTTGGGACTCTCTGATCCTCTCACGCATCGGCTATACAATTCCACCGGAGATCTTTGCAAACAACCTGCCATGTCTCCCTCCTCTGAATAAATAAGGTTATTTTTTCCCCCTTTCGGAATGAATTCCCCGCTCTGTTTTCCTCTGGCTAGTCTCTGATAAATAATATTACCAAAAGGCAGCGGGCCAGTTTTTCTCGCGCGGCAATGTAAGTAGTTACTATAATGGGAAAATCAATACGCAATTGAAATGTCTTTCTTTTTATGCCGGTTGACAGATGACAAATCATGCCTGAATTATTGCTTTTTTTTCTCTCTTTTGGTACATACCACAACTCCAAATTGCTCCGGCTCACAGAGGTCCTCATAGTCGCTCTTCAGCTGCGACAGCGAGGTCAGCTCCTTCTGCTCGGGGAGGTTCTTGATAAGATTCTGAAAAGCAAAACAAAAAACTTTTTTTATGTTAAGATAGCAATGAGAAACACAAAACATAGAAGAGTGATGGCAATACAGACCAAGTATTTGTTTATTTTTTTTAACCTTTATTTCAGGAGTATAGATCTAGGTTTGTCCAAAACATATTTCAATTCACCTTTTGTTGACTCACTCAATCACTACCTCTCCTGGAAGTCTGTTCCAAGCATCAACTATTCTTTCCCTTCTTTCCTGAAGACTGTACATATTAACTTCCTGCTGCCTTACCTAATATGATTTTTTTCCCTCAGATCATTTGTTGTTGCCCGTCTTGACTGTGTTACTAATATCTTTTTGGAAGTGATGTTTCCAGAACTGGACACAGTATTGTAAAGGAGATCTAACTAAACATCTATATATAGGAATCAGGACCTCCTTCCTCCTGTTGGAGATCCCTCTAGTGATAACTAAAGATCTATATAGAGCAATCAGGATCTTCTTCCTCCTCTTGGAGATCCCTCTAGTGATAACTAAAGATCTATATAGAGGAATCAGGACCTTCTTCCTCCTGCTCGGGATCCCTCTAGGGATGAAGAGCTATATAGAGGAATCAGGATCCCCTTCTTCCTGCTGGTGATCCCTCTAGGGATGAATAAAGATCTATACAGAGGAATCAGGACCTCTTTCCTCCTGCTGAGGATCCATCTAGTGATCCATCTAGTTCCAGAATTTTACTTGGTTTCCCAACTGCTAGGCCACACTGTTTGCACATGTTACAATCAATTGTAACATTGATTTGTATTTTGTGCTAAGATTTGGTGAGGTTTTTTTTTTTTTTATTAGGCCACCTACAGCAGAGCAATCACAACTAAAAAGATAAGCGTGGAAAAAGTTGTGAAAGGCTGTGGTCTTTTGCTTAATCTGGTTGCAAGGGATTATAGGTATTGTATAAAAAGAATGCATTGAAAAGAAACTCAATCTGTTTTTATTTTAGGATGAAATTAGGCAGGGTTTGAGCACTGTCAGGTCTATACCTGCCATTCCTGGCAGTACTATAATGAGCAGGGCTCTGATTAGATTTGAACTCCCCTCTATGGGTTGCGTTTTCCATATATTCCTAGAGAGAATCCATTAGGGGGTTTGTGACATCATAGAACAGGATCCCAATGCTATTTCAGGCTTTGCTTGGACCAGCTGCTTAAGCATGATGTGTAAACTCACTGTTACAGATAACCCATTATTCAATGAGTTTGCATACATTGTTTCTATGCTTCCCCCTGATGAAGGGGGGCAGAGCTTAGACCTCAAAACACATTGGTTTTTGTAAACAATTAGTCTTTGGAAGAAACATATCTGGACTTGGATATTATGGAGTGACGCTCCAATAGTAGACTCACTCATCCTCATAACAACCCATGGTGATTGTGGAAATCCCTTGCTGTGTAAAAGTTGCCAATCCAATATCTAGATTCTCCATAGTCATACTGCCATTGGTTGACAACAATGCAATATTAGTACTTAACCAAATTGTAGTGTTCCAGTGCTTTTAACCCTCTATAAAATACCCAATGCTATCTTAGACAGTTATGCTAAGGGGAATGCAGTCTATTTGCAATAGAGCATATTACTTCCACTCTGTGGATTACTACAAAACCAATTAACATAAGTTAGTGGACTTCTATCTACTCTTTAGGTGCTCACTAGGAAAAAACACAGACCAAACTCGGTTCGATAGTTTTGCAATTTAACCTTAATAAAGCTGAATATTTTATGGAGAGAGGGCAATCTCCTGATATGCTGATCGTCAGCGCTAAAGGTGCATTAAGGAACTCTTACAGGAACACAAACCATTAAAAATCTGGCAATTATTTTATACCGTTCCTAAAAAATTTTTTTTCCTTAAATGTTAATTGCGATCTTAAAGGTTAGTTAAGTGAAGCCGATGATCCAGGTTGGCCTTTCTCTTCCTGCCAAATGATAACCTTTCTTTTTATGTTCACAAACTGGGGGATATTAACCCTGACAAGGCAGAAAAGCCAATGACAAAGCAGTATTAAAGGATTCCATAGGTCCCAACTAGTTTTGGTAAGAGAATTTTTTTTAAAAAGAGAAAGATATGCGAACTATAAACATTTTTGGGATACTAAGTCATTATTAGGGCACCGCTGTGTGAATGAGACCGCAAAGTGTCAGATATAGTAGATGCTGACCTTGGAGTAATGTGATACAATGTGTAAAAAGTGCAAAACAAAAAAGAAACGCATGTATATAACATGCACCTTAGTGTAAAAGTAATTGCTACAAAATATCCATAATGAAAAATCAAATGCACTAAATATTAACTGTGAATCAATGTGATGCAATGTGCAAAGAATACCGACAAGAAAAACGCATGTGTGTAACTTGCACTCCAGTGAAAATAATAAATGGTTAAAAAATGTCCATGATCCTGGATCTTCAATAGTCCATTAAGTAAATAGAAGATAAAACATTGGATGTAGAATAAACTTAGTCTCCTGTGACCATCAACAAAGAAATCTTCTGGAATGCACCTCACCTTTAGCAGAGACCCACCAGGGTCTGTATGCGCTGTTCCTCTAATTCAAAACAGGTAGAGGAAGCACCTGATGCCGAATACCTCCGAGTGATTACCTCCTCTCAGGTACAGACTCTCTTGCAGTCTCAGGAGTTGGAAACAGACAGTGGAAACTCGTAGTGCAGATGGTTTTAAAAGGA